ACTCCATTATACTTTATTATACTCTATTATACTCTATTATACTGTTGTTTGTCACACATTTTACCTTTTTAATCACACAAACTGCAGCTTCTTGTGATTTGGAGATTGCACTCAGCTACAATAATATTACAATTAATTGTGCAACCCTAGTGAACCAATACTAAATAAAAACTGGGGGCCATAACTTAAAGAGTGACCCCACTGGTTATTGTGACGTCGCTCTGCACTGCTGTACTCCTACCTGTCCGAAACCTTTGGGTGCAGCAGAGTCGCTCCTCTCCTCTGCGTTACTGTTCATGGTTGCAGATCTCTAAAGGCAGTACAGTAAAACACACGTGTGAACAGTGAGTGCTGCTGTAAACCACCGACGAAACTGCCCTTTAATCATTATTAACCTGCAGAACAACAACAACAACAACAACAACAACAACAACTGATTCCGGATAGTAAGTTAATTAACTGTTAAACTCACCAGTTAAACTTCCTTCTAAACGTGTTTTTTATGTGTGTGTTGACTGAGGTAAACGGAGTATATGAGTAGTAAACAACAACAACACTGAACATCTGAACTTCCCGCTCGGAAACCCGGAAGCAGGAGTGTGTGCTGCCTTCAGGGCCTGTCGGAAACTAACAAACACAGACGCTACACTGCGACACAGTTTTTAGAAATGATTAGAGTATTATTCTTCCACCAAAGCTCCCCACAGATATACAGAATGTAAATCACAATCAGATAATAGGACGGATATATCTATTAGGTTAAAAACATAATTGCTTGTAGATCTAAATATTTGAGCTCTGAGGTTTAAATTAAAATACTGCTTCTTTTCTTTTATTTTCATGTTTAAATTGACTGTTGTTTGTTTGTTTGTTTGTTAATGTCATGTTTGTGTTACAATGTTCTATTTACAAGAGTTTGTGATTGTACAAATATGTACTCATTTATACATGCATTATTATTATTATTATTATTATTATTATTATTATTATTATTGCTTTATAAGTGTTAATATTTTTTTGTAAGTGTTAATATCATTTTGATTTTGCAATATAAAAACTGTCTTTTCATGCCAATTTGAATTTCTCCTAAGGGGGATCAATAAGGGAACATCTTATCTTATCAATAAAAGCTCCTTTAATTGAGACTGAAATTTCCCCATGGTTAAATCAATTGTTAGTCAGATACCAACATCTCAAATTTATTCAAAAGATCAAACACTTCACACCAATCAGTCACCACACAAATGTTAATGGTGGGAGGCCAGTACATGTGATCTAGAAATATATTTACAAGAAATAAAATAAAACTAATATTCTCTCCATTCCCTAATTACTACCTAGGATCATCAATAAATTACTGATACAGATGTTGTTATGCTCATACTGATGACAAATATTTAAGTTTAGTTGTAAAACTACTGTTGAAAATAGTATTTTTTTCCATTTTAATATTCCTTCTGTGTAATTTAACTCAATGACTCCAAATCACAAATGTGTCTCATGTAGAAATTCATCCTAAACGCTCTGAAGGTGCCACAAAATGGGAATTTACAAGGCGGACCTGAAGTCAACATTACATGTATCAACAGATATTAAAATTCAGAGACGAAGATGAAGAGGAGGAAGAGGAGGAAGAGGAGGAGGATGTTCACAGCTGATATGACCTCCACTGACCCGGGGGGGAGGTCAAATACGATACGCTTGGTACTGTCCTACGGTGCTACTAAATGTTCTGATTACCTGCTTATTATTTGGATCCAAAATAATACTGAATACATCGTTACTACGGGTGGAAATTGTGACTAATTTCACTGCTGATGGGCCAAAGTTACATAACCAGCCAAGCGACTCGTCTAAAAATAGAAACCAGCCAAAAAGGGGAAACTGAAATCTCATTCATTGTGTCTGCCAGAGACAATCTGACAAACCCAGGCGATTAATGATGATTTCATTTTTGTCATGCCAGCTCCGCCATTCTTTCCGAGCAGGCGGTACGACTGTGGTATCAGTGTGTTATATTTTGTCATGGTAGAGACCTTGCACCACAGGTTTCCCCTAGATGTGATCTGATCAGACCTTACCCCAGAATGAACTGATGAGGAAAAAATGTATTTTCATTAAACCTACTACAAGGTCAGGGGTGCCCGGTTAGCTCAGTGGGTAGAGCTGGCGACCCATGTACAAAGGTTGAGTCCTTGCTGCATCGGCCCAGGGTTAAAATCTGACCTGTGGCCCTTTGCTGCATGTCATCCCCTTTCTCTGTCCCCCTTTCCTGTCTGTCTACAGCTGTCCTATCAAATAAAAGGCATAAAAGCTGAAAAAAATATACTTAAAAAAAAAAAAAAACATACTACAAGGTGTTTTTGATAGTCTCAGTTAAATACCGATACCTATATATGGTCAGATTCCCCTTAAAATCAATTTAATGAGGTGAAGAAAACACTACCGATTTTGTCCACATGGGCCACCAGAATCAAGACAAATGAAAGTTTCTTGTAGGGGCTTTAAATACTAAATCACTTTAGGATTCAGAGATCATAGGAACGACACCCACGGAACTATTAAGATCTCAATTAAGATAATATATAATCTCTCCCATGATACCTTAATTCATCTGCTGATACTGACCACAGATCTGATACCAGTGCTCTCTTTCTCCCAAATGTAAAATCTGTATACCTCACTGAGTGCTAGTCGTTGCAATTCGTCTGTGTAAGGTAAGGACTGATAGTGGAGACACAGAATTGTATAATGCAACTGACAAGAAAACTGGATTCAAAGTATTTAAAAGATCGGTCACATCATGGCACTGACACTGGATCAACTGAATAGGATCAGTATCTGAGCTATACCTGAGGCATACCGATCCAGGCAATTAGTCAATTAATGAATTAGTCGATCAACATGAGAATTGATATGCTGGTAGTAAACTGAACATTGTTGGGTTTTCGATAGTTGGTTGGACAAAAACAAAACATTTGAAGACATCACCTTGACCATTTCAAGGTTCCAAGGACATTTCATAGATCCTCAGATGAACGGATTCATCACATGATTCACATGATTCATGGATAATGAAAATAATCATTAGTCACAGCCCTAATCGGTTTAAGTAGAAAAGAATGCCACTGCAGTTCTTAATGTAAAGTCTTCGAGTTCGAGCTGTGAGAACATTCCCTCCTCTACTACTGTGCTAGAACCTGCTGAAACAGACTAAAACCAACCAAACCAAACATCTAACAAGCTACTGACTTTATTGTTGCTAACAAGTGGCTAAATGAGACTACAGAGGTTGACATTAAACGTCAGCACGCTGAACACCGAGACTTATCTACTCACTAGTCTGCTTTTACAGCCTTGTTGCATTCATACTCACGCTCTTGCAAACTATTCTAAATCACACTTGTAGAAGATTTAATTACAAGTAGGAAGGAACAGGGGGATGTGCTAACTTCCAGGTTTACCGACAATAACACATCATCTCTGCAGAACTCTATTCCCAGTCAAGGTAGAGTTTGTAAAGCACTCTAATCGAAGCTTGTGTTTTATGGCACTTTGCTGACGTACAACAACTGTTTGTTTACAGCATCCATTCATTTCACGGTTATGAGGGTAATTTCATTTAACTCTCTGGGGGTCGTTTTTGGCTTCAACAGATGTACACTTCCTCTCACAGTTTCCTATGAAATCACTAAGACTGTAAACATTTAAGCTGCTTGCACTCGCTCCATCAGCTGCTTTCTATTATGGTTCAGCTCTCTCATCCACCTCTTCCATTTCCTTTATATCTAACCTGCCGCACAGGACTCGGACTTTTGTCTGTGATTAGAACAGAATAATTAGTAACTGACTCATTGCAGAGTTAGTTCTTTTCTCTGACTACTCCTTTGTTTCCATCTCTCTCACTAAATTGACTTGCTTTCTGCAGATTGGCCTTTTTGGCTTGTAAGCATCAGACAGTAAACTGATGCTTGAAAAGGCCGGAGTCAGCTCTTTCCAAGCTGGGGGAGGATGATAAATCCTGTGAAGCTGAAACAAAACATGCAAGCAGAATAATAAACATATAAATGTGAGAGAAGGCTTTTCCAAGCTTGGGCGTTGGGAGTCCAGGGGGAGTCCCCGCTTTGAAAACGGACGAGAGGGGAGGAGAGAAAGAAAGAAAGAGGTATACTGGGACTGAGTGGTGACCTGACGCTTTTGTTCAGGGAGGAGTGCAGCTGGCTTCGGACGGAAGGAAGGAGTTTCAGGATGGAGGAGCTCTGGAGAGCATCCGACCACATCTGCATCCTTTCTTTTCCTCGCTCGTTTTTCAGCTCGCACCTTCTTTTTTTCCCTCGATTTATAACTTTCTGCACCAATGGCTCGCCCTCCCACCTCCCTCCTTAAACCATTCTGTCCTCATCTGTCTCTTTCTGCCTCTAATTCCCTCTCTCTCATTAATCAACAGTCACTTATGGTGTGGTGCGGAGTACGTAGACGGCTTCGAGCCCATATGGAAGTGATCAGGGGCGGGCAGGGAGGAGCAGCAGAGGCCCCACGGACAAGAGAAAGTCCCTGTTTAACTACTGCCTGCAGGTATTGTGCCAATGTTTGCAATCACAGCTGTGGACAGTTCCCTTGACCCCACTTCAGGGGTCAAGGGCCATTAGAGGTTTTTAAAATGGTTTCTGATGACTCATTTAATTTTAGCATTTTAAATCGCTAGACAATATAAAAGAATGACTGCTTTGATAATGGGTTTTACTCTCATTACCGTTATCTCCCTATCTCCACTACAGACCTCCTAAAGCCATTCAATTTGTCAAAACCTCTATCAAAGTCCAACATACACTAAAGCTGGAACAAATCTAGGGCTGCAACTAATGATTTACCTAAGCGCGATTAATCTGTTGATTGTTTTTTCCAATTGAGTTTAAATTCAATCCAGTAACAACCAACGATCCAATGCCCTGAAATAAAGAAACACTGTTTCTTTCTTTATCTCCATGTCTTCTACTTTTACAGCTACTGAGAATGTTGGCAGCTCACACCTTTAGCACAATACCACGTATGCAGCCTTTAAGTGCGCATTTAAGGCCATTTTAAAGTGTCCCTGTGTCGTATCAAGTCAGCTTGACACATTAAAAAGTCAGCCAGAGTTAGCTCGATTTGTTTTCAACTAACTCAAGGAGCTCATGTTAGCTTAATAAGAGGACTCAGTTCTATTTTTTTAGACGGGGCCTAAACAAAAATAACCAATCAGAGCCAAGAAAGATAGTTGATTGTTAAGTCTCATTCCCACTTCGTCAAATACCCGCACTGGGAATGACACTCAACGATCAATTAACTGATTTATCATTTCAAAAGTAATAATCTAACATCTTCTTGGGACCTCTGCTTACTCAGTTTAATCATGGTCAGACATCTGCTGAGCAAGCATCTTACATAAAAGATGCAGAGCACAACATGCAAACAGCCACAGACATATCTCAGCATATGGGAGGAAGTGTATGCAGTCAGACCTAACTCAGACACAAGTTACATGTGTTACATACATTACAATTATCCTCAGAACTTTACTTTTCAATGTTGAGCAAACAAACCCTTCCCCCTAAAACACACACAGTAAACTTTCACCATTCCTCTCTAAGCCCTTGGAGAGCCACAGTGGCTTCGGCCACACAGAACATTCTGGATTCTCATCACCGCTACTGAACAAACACGGAGAGCGAGAGACGGCTGGGGGGGCGGCTGGGTGTGCTCCAACATGAGAGAGACAGAAAGAGGGAGAGGTAGAGGAGTAAAGAGAGACAGGAGGAGAATGCAGAGTATGCAGAAGAGGCAACACTTCACCTCACATTGTCTGCTCTTCTATAACCAGACCTTTGCTGTACTATATCTGAGATGTGTAGTCAGATATTTTAAATTTACAGCTGGGTGATAAATGAGTCTACTAAAACACTTTCCTTCATTTAGTGTTTGGATGGTGGCAGAGAGTGCTGTTGCCTGGGGGGGTTGCAGACTTCTTTGACTAGGGGATCACAAGTGGGGCACTGACTTATGCAGGAATGTCAGGAAGTATGTGTCTTAGCTGTCTAGTCATTCCCAATGTATGCAATTCAAACTGTTTATGGACCCCAGTATGCAGCAATATTCTACTACTGCACATTGCCCCCAAAACTGGATTCAGTTGGGTTAATTCACACTGTAGACAAACTGACACGTCTTTTGAGGCTGACACCAATATTGATAGTTAATATTATTATATTAAAAAAATTCCCTTAGTAAAAACTGAGATTTAAGAGAAACCAAACACTGATAAATAAACTGCTTAGTTATGATCTTTTCCTCTGATTGGCTTTAGGAAACTTAAAGTTAAGTTAGTTTTGTTTTTACAGATGTCATATGTCAATTTTATCCTTTTCAGTTCATATACAACCTGCATATTGAAGTGACAACTGGCAACAATTTCCTGTTTCCACTGAACTGAGAGAAATTACAGAAGCAAGAATCCATTCACCCAATTATTAGCGTGGGTTTCCAGTCTATAGAATTGACCCATGCTACAAAAGCAAGCTGAAAGTAATGGATAGGCCCAGCAGACAACAGCTGGTCACTGCACAGTGCAAGGTGGTGATCAGCAGTCCCACACTCCTACACTGGACTCCCCATCGCCTCCCCTTTCCAACCCTGCTGCCTTTTTATAGGAACTGAAACCGAGTCGTCACCCTAGCAACACAGCCGTACATGGGGCGGAGGTTTGAGCGCTGCTAAAAAGAGAGAGAAAGAGAGAGAG